CATATTATATCACGGTCAACCATCTCTACATCATTATAAATTCATTACCACGGGTCAACAACAAGATACAAACGCAGTCTAACAAGTGCCTCCTGCAGTGCCACATGCCACGCCCTGATGAAGACCTCTGTAAGGTGGGTTGAAACGTCAGCATAATAATTAAAAATACTATTTTTAAAATTTACTATTTATTTGACCGCACCCTCCGATCAACTCCTTCTCATATTATATCACAGTCAACCATCTCTACATCATTATTTTATTGAACAAGATTAAAACAATTTTGAATATTATAATGGTTTAAACATCACAGCATAAAATAATTTTTATATTTTAACGTCCTTTTATATTTTAGAATTGTATTGTATTCAACAAGCATGATTGTCTGATAGTGAGGTATCTTAGTCCAGTAGGAGATTGATAAAAAAAAAATTGCAAAAATCCATGATTTGATGAAAAACCGAAATTAGTGTAGTTCAGCCATTTGAAAGCAACCTTAAAATAGTTTTTACAAAGACAAATTCTACTTCTATTTGAAGTAAATTTTGTCTGTTTTTACTTTCACTTATATACGAAAGATATAGTATTGCGTAAGGATAAGTATTGCGATCATGAAAATTTTTGAATCTGAGTTTTTAACTCTAGATCTGATGTTATATTTAAATATTTAGGTATCTTTCGTCCGTTTATTCCGAAAAATCATCATGTAACCTTTTAGAAAATTAAATTAGTGAATAGTTTGATGAAATTTCCTTTTGTGATATTCGAACAGTATCCACTTACAAATAGTGTGACAACTTTTGACTTGTGTATGACAGACAATGCAAATATCTTAATTCTGTTTTAGTAAACTTTGCAATGGAAAATAACAGTTTAATAACTAATAATAGTATAATCCATAATCAACAGATCGTACAATCCATAATCAACCGGTGATATAATAAATAGGACTTTTGTTATTTTAATGGTATTTATGATCTGTTAGCTGTAATTTTTTAGCTTTAGCTCAGTTAAAAATTCAATTCTAAAATTTTATAATAGCCCAACATGGTCAGAAAATAATTTCTATTCAAAGTTAAGTGGTAAGTGAAAGTTGTGATTTTCGCGCTCAAAATTTTTTATATTGCATTTCTTAATCACCTGAATTTTAATAATATTTTCTTTATCGCTGCGTATGCAACGAAACAAAAATTTAACTTCTTTAAGAAAACACTAATTGAATTTACTGTTTTTCTGTTGAGAATGGGACCACTGACTACAACCTTTTTTTTTTTATTTTTGAGGTTTATAATCAGCTCTTTAACTATTTCCCATTACTTACAGGGCACTCTGTATTTATAGTCCAGTCAATGAATGATTATATGGAGTGGAATGGAAATGGAACACAATTTTTTATGTGGAGAATTTGTTCGGATTAGTAAGGAGGTAAACATACTAAAAGTTCACAATCTTAGGTGGAAGCCCAAAGGTGAGGGTCACTTTTTTCAGTTCTTTGCATATAGCAGGATAACCATGCGTCTTAGCAATAAAAGACATTCAGTTTAAAATTTACTATAAGATTGATATTGATATAATAAAGTTGTTTAGCCTTAAAGTTTCTACAAAAAATATGTTATATTACTATCTGATCTTCAACCCTACAAAAGGTCGAGCAATTATAATTTTATGTGTTAATCCTGAGATTTTAAAGAAAATCTTAACTCATCATTATAGATTATCATTACCACCACCTGTAATAAAATCAATTTCGCTTAAAATCTCTCGCCTGAGAACTTAGCATACATTCTAAAACTAAAACACCATAGTATGTACTATTCAAGAATGGATTCATTTATTAAATTTAATTAATAAAAGAATAAAATAAAGTTCTTTTCTGGATTCATTTTGGCAAACTGGCTTCTGTACTTATATTATTATGGTTATTTTTGTCATTATTTTGGTTGGTTTACGTTATATCATTATTAGGTTGGTTATTAATAATATAACATTATTAATAATAAACAGTTTATAATAATGTTAATAAACAGTTCTATAAGAATTATAGATCAGAAGAACGAAAACAATTACCATCAAATTCCTAAGAAGGGACTGCTTCGTCAATTTCACAAAGCAATACCTTTTAAGGTTGATTTCAATAGTGATACCTTTGTCAGGTTATTCTTATATTGAATGTCTTTATCCGTATGATGCATGGTTTTTCTGATATAAGCAAAGAACTGAAGACCTTCTGGGTGCCCTCCCCCCTCATCTTTGGCTCACCACCTAGGAATGTGCGGACCTTTAGTAAGTTTACCTCCTTACTGGTCCGAACAAAATCCCAAAGTAAAAAATTGTTTTCCTTCCATACTTTCTATATTTTATTTTTGGAGCACTCATTGATTGGTCTACTAGTCTAGTCTAATGTAGCTTATAATTAGTTTTATTTGATTGCCTAATGCAAAGTTGTTTCATAATAATTACTTTTTGTTTGTAGACAAATTAATAACCAATATGAGAATGTATTCCTATGATTTATAATGTTTATCACAATTTACTTCTGGCATTCATTACTGTAGGACTCTTTAATACTTTATACTTATTAATAACTTCAAATTAAAATTTTTTTTTTATACTAATAAGATGTGGGTTTATTGCCAATCGACGCCTTGATTCAGCTTCTGACAGAACTGTGGGGTACTCTACTAATAGATTGAGGCCCAAGAGGTCTTTTCTGGTGAGTCTCTGTGTTTTTATTGCTGGGTATACCTAAGACCTCTTCTCATCTTAAATATTATTCTGGAAAGAGAGTGTGGTAAAAATATTTCTTGTAATCTTTAATATTTTTGATATTTGCATAACCACTGAATGCACTACCAACTTCTGCTTGTGAATGTGTATTGTGAGTAGTCATACTCCAAACCTCAACAACAAGTGCCTGAATTCAAATGGTAATTATCAGAACCATTACCTAGAAAATTGAGGTAAATCTTTAGAAAATGGTAATATCCACAACAGATTTTTTTATCCTTCATATTTTCTGGTCTGCCAGAAATTCAGTTGTATAGCAGATAGAGGTATTGTTTATTTATATTTACTACTGATAGTGTTCATACTGAATCCATTTTATGTACACTTCCTCATTATAACACTGCAGGTCTTCATAAGTGTTGAAGGATAATACAGTGATGGAAAAAAGTATTTGCACATCATGTTTTTATGAATAAATGAGTTCAAGGAACAAAAAAACTTCGCTTTCCTCTGCAAAAATGAAAAGTACATTTGTTAAAAACTAAGAAAAACCTTTTGGAAAAAAATGACAACACTCCATAATGAAACAATAAAAGTATTTGCACACTATGACTCACAAGCTCTGTTTACTAATTTATCTCTAATCGTTTATTACCAGTATTCTCTAGTCTTTCAATCAGTTTCCTTTAGTCAATAGACAATTTTCATGACAAAGACAAATGAACTATGTGCCGCAACTCGCGAAAAAATTGTTTTACTGAGGAGTCAGCAAAAAATATATCGCCAAATTGTCAATTTCTTAGGGTTGAATTTTTCTACAGTGAGATACGTCATAAAAAAATAGTAAGAACGTGGTTCAACTGAAAACAGTGAGCGTAAAGGGCGTCCAAAAAAGTTAACTCCCAGGCTGAAGAGGAAAATCAGAAAAGAAGCTCTTAAAAATCCTCTGATAAGTTCTCGGGAGCTGGCTACTATGGTCCAATCAACGTCTGGAGTTCAGATTACTAGCAGAACAATTAGATATGCCCTGAATTTGGAAAGGCTCCATGGTAGAGTTCCAAGAAAGAAGCCATACATCAGTGAAACAAATCGCAAAAAGTGCCTTGCTTTTGCTAGGGAGTACATACAGAAACCCTTAAGCTTTTGGGAAAATGTCATTTTTTTTTTTTTTTGTGACGAAAGCAAATTTAATTTGTTTGGTTCAGATGGTCGAAGGACGATATGGCGATATCGTAATGAAGCCCTAAAGAAGCAAAATGTTTTAACAACTGTAAAGCATGGTGGAGGATATGTTATGGTTTGGGGGTGTTTCCTACCATGGCGTGGGAAATTTTGTGAGCATTGAAAGCATTTTAAATGCGGAAGGCTATGTGAAAATTTTGCAAAGTAATTTGCGTGTTAGTGCCGAAAAAATGGGAATCCAGGATCAGTACTATTTCCAGCAGGACAACGGTTCAAAACATACTGGTAGGAGAACAAAGGAGAAGTTAATATTTAATGTTCCAAAACAGCTCCACACTCCTCCTCAGTCACCAGATATAAATATCATTGAAAATTTATGGCACACCCTTGACCAAAATGTAAGAAAACACCATATCACTAGTGGACATCACCTTAAACAACTTCTTGTTCAAGAATGGGAACAAATAAACGTAGATTTAATTAAAAACCTAGTGCATTCAATGCCCAGACGTCTACAAGCAATTATTGACGCAAATGGCCTATTTACAAAATATTAAAACTATTAAAATTTAAAATAAACTTGTAAATGTGGAAGTGTGCAAATACTTTTTCCAAGCACTTTTATTGTTTTAATTATTTTGTTTGATTCTGAAGTGTTTTTATTTTATTGTAAAAAGGTTTTTTCAGTTTTTAATAAATTTACTTTTCATTTTTGCAAAGAAAAGCGAAATTTTTTGTTTCCTTGAACTACTTTATTCATAAAAACGTGTTGTGCAAATACTTTTTTCCATCACTGTAGCCCGTGATTGGAGAATCCAGAATGTTCTTAATTCAGGGTGATTATTACAACTAATAAGTTTTTAAAAATTTAATTTGCCTTGTTAAGTCAGTAAGTAAAATGTTAAGGTCAGATACTGTAGACCATCAATGCTGTTACGAAGAAATTAACAAACATAAGACTAAAAACAATAAAAGTTGTTTCATAGAGTTATGAATAAATTCTTAATTATTTTTTAAAAATGATTCTATCATAAAATCTGAAATTTTATCCTTTGAAATGTTATAGTAATCCTATTATATTTTATTCATAGTTGGAACAAAATGAGTATGGAAAACTTGTGATTCCAATGGAGGAAGCTCTCGTAAAACAAATTATGGCCCAAGTTAGGAAATTTCTCATTCATTCTGAAGAAGGCAGAATGCCTTTACATAAACTGGTTTCCTGTTTTTCTTCATTTCATGCCCTCCATTTAACTCCTGCAAGTCTTATGAAGAATTTGCCGGATGCTATAGTTGTAAGTGATTAAATTCTTCAGTTTTAATTTTAATTATTAAGTGTTTAGGTTTTTGATGAATGTAGTCTATTAAATTGATTTATCTTTTAAATGTTTTTATTTATGTTAATAGTTAAGTTAAGATAATATTTGATATTATTAATATTTTTAAAAATTCCAATTCATTTATAGATACTAGTTGAAGGAGGTGTGCATATTGTGGAATTAAGTCCTGTTTATCAAGTTGGGAGGCGCTTAGTACAAATACTCAATGCTCATGATGGTCATATGAGCCTTAATGCATTGGAAGTGGCCTATGCTCGAGGAGGAGGAAGTTTAGCTGACTATCCAACCTTATCTGCAGTCTTGGCTGTTTTACCAGTTATTGCAACGGTCAAAGGCAAATCCTTCAAGAGACATGTTTTACTAAATAAGGATCTTGCAATAAGTACATATAATTTTTAAAAATTTATTATGTTTTTTCCCTAGACACAAAAAATAACAACATATGATTTGAAATCTAATTGATTTATTTTATTTGCAATATATATTAGGACCTTAAATAAGTTCTTGCTGTTTTTTTTTTTGTTTGTGAAAATTAATGCTTTATTTAAAGTAAGTGGTATAAAACATGTAGAGTCTATTTTTCTTGTCCCAGAATTAAGTTATTTTCCATCTATCTATCTAATATTTTCTTCACTTTCTCTTTTTTCTATTATTTTTATTTTGGCCAAATGTACTTTTTTAATTTTGTACTATTTTGTTATTCTCAAACTTGTTAAAGTTGTTTTTCATCTATCTATCTAATACTTAGGTTTAAGATAAAATAACGTGGTGGTAACTTGAATTATTTTCATATAAATTAATTAAATTAAAAATATAAATATTAGGATTAGGAACGTATATTCAGCCACTTATAAGTAGGGATCAATATCTATAATAGAAATGTTGGTTAAAATAAAGTTTAATTATCAATTTACATGAAAAATATTCGAAAAACCATTATTTTTACATTTTTTTTTTATAAATTGAAAGTTTATTAATGCATTTATACTTATTAAAATACACTTCAGGTGGTGGGAAAAAAATTAAAGATTTTCAATAATTTATTGTAGTAATTTTTGCTAAAAACATGGTTACTATTAGATGACAGGATTTCAAATCAAACACAACTTCATGAACGTGACTTGGGTTTTAAGCCTCATTGTGGCAGGTTTACATTCCTTCCAGTAGTCAATTTCTAAACATATCAGTTTCTCACTCATTGTTAGCACTCATTTTGTGCCTTTATGGGCTCTATACACGTTTGAAGCTGCATAGCTGCGATAGGTGTTGATTTTGGGGCACCAGTAATAATTCGGAGGGCCTTGTTGTGCACTTATTAAATTTTTAGGATTTAAGACTCTGGTGTTGTTATGAGTAAATTACTTCTGTATTCAAGAACAGGCCTCACATAACTTTTATATGCCATCGTCAGAACGTCTTGGTTTGCTCCCCACTTCATACCAGTGATCCTTTAAATTAAATTAAGGCCAAAACGTTTTTCACCTTTCTCTACCAGATGGTCTGTATGCTTTGCCCAACTCAACCTGTTATCTAGTAATACTCCAAGGTATATTTCTGAATTGGTTTGTTTTAGTTGTTCTTGTGCATATTTTAAAGTTAAATGATTGTTGCTTGGTCTAGAGTGAGAAGAGCTGAAATTCGGATTTCAAAGTATTAATACACATCTCGTTCTCATCAACCCATTTTTGGAATTTTTCAAGTGCTTTATTTAAGTAAAATTTTAATGCTTCTATACGACTGCTCGTTGTCCAGAGTACAAAGTCGTCAGCATTCATAACTACTTTGATTACTGGTATAGACTCAAGAGTCTGTATGAGGTCATCTATCGTTATGCAGAATAGAGTTAGGCTAAGGACTGGGCCTTGCGGAAGGCCTTGTTTTGTCTGCCTGTATTTGGATGTTCCTTGTCTATAGCTGACACGAGTAAATCTTTGGCCGAAGAAAGATGTAATACATTTAAACAAATTGCCTTGTACGCCTTTTTTTAACAGTTTTTCGAGACGTTTCTTCCTCCAAACTCTATCAAATGCAGTTTGGAAGTCTACAAAAGTCTACTGCGAGTGAACTTTGTTTGCGGTGATATCCATATTTAATGTCTTGTGATAGCTGTATTACATGTTCTATAATGCTTCAATTTCATCTAAATTCTGCTTGTTTGTGTGAAATGAGCCTATACTTTTCCATGTGAGTTTGTAATCTTGTCAGTGCCGTCTTTTCAAGCAGTTTGCAAAAGACACTAGTTAATGCTATAGGTCTGTAATTTTCCACACAATAAGTAGGTTTTCCTTTCTTAATGATGGGGATAACGTCGGCTTTTCTCCATTCACAAGGCACATAAGATGACCATGCCTCATTTAGGAATCGAATTACCACCTGTTTCCCAGAGCTGCCAAGATGGGTGAGGAATTATCTGATCCAGAGCTCTTCCTACGTTTTATTCCTTTTAGCACTACTTCGATTTCTCCCAAACTAAATTCACTGTTAAATAGGGCCATTTCTTCCTTATTTAAGCATGTTTGAGGGATTTCATTAGTAGGAGTGTTATTGTTACTGTTGTTACTGCTAATCTTCGTATAGTGTTTATTGAAATGATCTGCTATTTGTTGATCACTGGTAAGAAGCTTATTTCCATGTTTCATAGGATTATTGAATGTATATTTTTCATTATTTAGTTGGGATAAGGATTTATGCGCAGCTGTTCCATCTTTTCGGTAGTCTAGATTTTGGAGGAACGACTTGTATGAAGTTCTTTTAGCATTTATTTTTAATAATGTACTCTTATGCTTCATCTCAAAATATCTTGAGCCACTCCACTTTGTGCCATTAATCTTGCTGTATCTCACTCGACTTTTAGTTTTTCTAGCTTCTCATTCCAAAATGGGACATACCTCTTCACTCTTCCTCTTGGTACTGCTTTTCCAGCACACTTGAAGAGTACCTTTGTAATTTTGTTAAGAGAGGAGTCAGGGTTCCCTGCGATGAGTCCAGGAATGAACAGCTCATCAGTTAGTTTTGGAGTAAGCATCCCAATTGGCTTTCCTCAGGTTCCACCTCAATTTATTGCTTTTTATTTTTCTTTAAGCTTCTTAGTGAATTTGATTGCTACAATACTGTGTCCAAATCCACCTGGTGCAAGACTAGACCGGGATGAGAACTATTGCCCAAATAAGATAGAAAAGTGGGAGCAGATGCATCATTTTCAATGTAAGCCACTGGGTTAGAGTCAATGAACTCTTCCACTATTCTTCCGACTCTATCTGTGATGGCATAACCCCATTGTGTTGAGGGTGCATTGAAGTCCACACAGAGAAAACATCATGAATCCCAGGTTGCTTCAAGCCATTCAAGGTTAGGCTCATTTCTTGGTGGATTGTATGCTTCGGTGCTTGCCATTCTTCCATATTTCCAACTCCGCAACTTCCATCCTATCCACATCGATCATAACTTTTTTCTTTTTAAAATAAACTTTAAGTTACTGCTTTGCTGCGATTAAGATTCCTGACGAATGGACTGTATTATGTCTTGGTAGTGCATATGTCTGGTAACCAGGGTGCTTAAAGAAGTCCAAAGATTCTGAAGCCGCCCCCCTATCCCGACTATCCAGCCCGCCGATAAGCCTCGACTATCCCGTAAACATCTGCATCTTCATTAGCAATTATTTTTTTGAACTCAATGAATTTATCATTAGTCAAACCATCTGCATTCCAATTTTTAATCTCGAGAATGATGTGGTCTTTACTGTAGTGGAAAGACCATTTGTGGGTAACCGTTTTGTTATTTTGGTCTAAGCATGGGTTGGGCCGCCAGAGGCGGTCTCAGTGATCGTTTGGTTCTCTTGTTTAAAAGATATCCAGGGTTAGTTACACTGGACGCGATCACTATCTCTCCTCACTTAATTAATATGGACTTAAAGCTTAAAAAAAATCTTATAATATGTTTCTTAAATTAGTGCTGATATATATTGTAAGAAATTGTTCAAATGAAGTAAAAATAATATGAAGAGAATGATGGGGACCAATACCCAGATTTATCTAATGCTGATTAGTCATTTGAGAAACACCTCATCTCTATTTTTTTCCATTTTCTTTGCCATTCAAATTTATTAATTAGGACAATCCTGTCCATTTCAAATAAAACATTCCATTTCCAGTAGCAATGAGATGTAAAAATTTTCAGTGTTTTGAAAAATAAGTCCAAGGAATCAACACATATGCTATAAAATTTGAAATGTCTTTGAGTTCTTTTTTGTTTTTGTTTTTTTGTGCTGAGCAGCAGATAGGAGTTGAGTCCCAATTTTTTTCTTTCTTCAGTGAAATGAGTGCATGAAAAAAATATGTACTATGTTGTCTTCATTAGGAGTTGTCTTGGTAATTCAACAATACTATCCAATTTGAATACTATCTGTAGCCTCGAAAACATCCAATAAACCTGTTGTTACATAAAATTCACCACTCCAACAAGCATCTCATGAACTATTATCAAACACTTACTTGAAGGTCCTTTATTTATTTTTTAAATATGCTAAACTTTATTTATAAAAATGATAATGTGATACAGTTAAATTCATTTAAAGTGCTATGATATAGCCTATTTGTATTTTTGTAATGTTAGTCTTTTATACTTAAATCTCATTTGACTTTTTTTCAAGCATTTTTTTAGCAATGAGCATTTTTAAGTTTTTAAAAATATATTTTATATTGTTAGAGAATGATCCAACTGTCAATGGAAAAGCAGTTTGTCGCCCCTGTTCAGCAAGCAGCGTCCTTTCAGGAAGTTCGAATGTAAGTTGTTTATCAAACTTTTTTATTGTAGAAAATATATTTATATAAAACTAGCTTTATCCGGCCACATGTTGCTGTGGCTTAGTCTGACAAAATGGAAAAGAAAGAAAATAGAACGCATATATGAGAGGATTAATAATATTGACGTTCTCTGAGTCCAAATAACGAAGTCCCACAAAATGGTACATGTTTCTGTATGTATGTGGTAAGTCTAGCTCAAAAATTAATAGTCGTAAGAAACTGTTATTATGTATTTAATAGAGGTGTATGCTTTGGATGTGGCAGCAGCTTTTTCGTAAAAATCGACTCACCGGAAGTGGCACTAAATGTCAACGGTGATACACAGTTTTACAATTTTCTCAAAAAGGGCTTCAACAATTTTGATTGAACTTGGTTTATCATTGTATAATTAAGTGGTCTTTAATATCTAGACAATGCCATTGGTTAAAAAACTATTTAATAGTGCTTATGTGAAAGATGAAGTGAAATATAAAAATATTTCATGGATGTATAAAGCATATGTTTATAACCTTAAATACATTTACTGTAGTTTAATAACTCTAGATCTGGTATTTTATTAAATAATTAGATATCAACCTCCGTTTATTCCAAAAATTATCATTTAACCTTTTGAAAAATTAAATTAGTGAATAATTTGATAAATTTTCCGTTTGAGACATCCAAACATTATCCGCTTAAAATCAATGTAAAAACTTTTGACCTGTCTATGGCAGGCAATGAAAATCTCGTAATTTTTTGTAGTAAACTTTACAATGGAATTAACTGTTTAATAACTAATAGGTGTACAGTCCATAATCATTTATTGTATATAGAGATATACTTTCAAATCTCTCTAGGCATATATATATTGCTTAGAGACTGAAGTTATGTGGTTTACAAAAACAGATGGAGTACCAAGGTTTTTATTGTCTACCGTTGATATATTTAATAGGGTTTTTGTTATTTTAATGGTGTTAATGATTTGTTTGGTAACTTTAAGCTATTGCTCCATTAAAAGTTCACTTCAAAAATTTTATAATTGCTCAACATTTTAATAAATAAGAAAATAATTTCTATTCATAGTAGAAAGTTAAGCGAAAGTTGTGTGTTGCGCTCACCAGATTTTTGGTTTAATGCTCCTTGTATTTTTCTCGTGAATTTTATTAGTTCCTTTACGTATTGCTTCATTTTTTTCTTTAGTTTTATAATGATGAAATGAATATTCCTTACCCTCAATATTTGCTGTTTCATAATTTTTGTATAATTATTTTATTTTTTTATTTAAGCTCAATTCAGATGATAATAATCACTCAAGTTCAAAATGGACTGCTCCTGGTTCTGTAAGTATTTATCATTTCTTAAATTTTATTCATTTTTCTAATTAGTTATTGCTTTGTTCTCTATTTTTGGAAGGAATGAGAGTGAATTAGTAGATGATTTTTTTTTTTTTAGTTTATGCTTTAGGTTTTTATAAAACAATTAATGTTATTAAAATATTAAATAAATAAAAGTTGTGTACTTACAAAAAGAAATGGAAAAATAGCATACATCTGAGCTGCAATAGAATTCAAGTGATAAAGAATATATTATGCCCTGGAGTTGCCGAGGTTTTAAGCATATCTCCTCTTTTTTTTTCAGCTCTTTCATTAACGACCTACATGATTCAATCCTCCATTGTTCCCACCACCTTTATGCCGGCGATTCTCAAATCTATCAATCTTTTTTTCCTGCTTAGTTATTAAGGCTCGGTCACACAGAACGCGATATTTATCGCGGCGATATAGCGCCACAGTTGTATTACTATCTATTCTACTATAACAGTCACATAGAGAGCGTTACGCCACAGCGATACATGCTGTAGCGCCGGGGCCGGCGATAAATTGATACAAATTACAAAAATATCGCCCTCCTTCGGCGTTATTCTCTACCTAATGTAGGCAGAAAAGTTAGCTAATACCCAAGTTAATAGGATTATTGCAGGATTATAACGGCGTGTTCACACAGAAGGCGTTATTTATCGCGGCGCTACAGCGCTACTGTTGTATTACTATCTTTTCCACTATAGCAGTCACACAGAGGGCGTTACACCTCAGCGATACATTCTGTAGCGCCGGGGCCGGCGTTACGTTTGTAAAATATTACAAGTGTATCGCCGGGGCCGGCGTTATGTTTGAAAAATATTATAGATACAAATTACAGTTGAAATTATTTAGTGGTAGTATTCATATAGATATGTTAAACACCGAATTATTTATATAAAAAGTGAGGAATTTTCCATTTTTATTTGATATGAGACCTCAAGCAAATATTAAAAAAAATTATTAAAAAGGAGGTTACATGGAAAAAAATTGTGGAAGAGCTAAATACCACAAGCAATGTATTAATTGATATTATTATTATAATTATTTAACATTATAATAATTATATGTTATATACTTTTTTATCTTGAAATCATTTAAAAATTATACTTACGTTCTTTTGCTAATTTTAATTTTGCCTATACTAAAGACATAAATGATAAAAAAAAAAAATCTGTGTATATTGCATATTTAAAACGGTTGAGGAACAGATAATAACTATCCAAGATATATATGGCAATAAAAGAAATTCGTTACTACGAAATTAATATTAAATAGATATGTCATTTGAAGTAAATAATAATTTGAAATAAATCTGGTTTTACATAAAAAAAAGGAGAACGAAAGTTCATTATTAAAATATCTTCTGGAATATATTAAAAAATTATATATATATTTGGTTATTCCTGTATTTCTTGCTTTGAAATATTAAAAAAATTAAATATATATATTTATATATATATATATATATATATATATATATATATATATATATATTTAATTTTTTTAATATTTCAAAGCAAGAAATACAGGAATAACCAAATAACATATCTTTTTATAATTTTATGTTCATTAGCACAATTTTTAAGAATTGGAATGTAATACAATTTTGTTAAAGAGAAACAAGCTTCATCGCTAGAAACCGGCAATAAATATTCGAAAAACGTGTAGCAAAAACTCAAACACTAGCAAAAAATTGTTGGAAAACCTAATAAATATAAAGCAAACAATTTCTTAATAAAAACAAATTAAATTGAAACATAGTTTATTATATAAAGTTATGGCCTTATTGTTAATTTAATTTTTTTATTATATTATTAAAAAATAGTTGGTTTTTCGATTGTAGATTGTCAAGTCCCCATTTATTTAATGTTGAATGGAGTGATTCGTAATTTTTGACTAGTGGTTCACGTCAATAGTCATCTCAACAAAAATAATCAAACCAATCGTCCTCTCATATTTATTAATAGAAAAATTAAATTTTGAAATTTCACCAAAACAGTTGTTATTTAATTGGCTTAACCTCAAAACTATAAGAAAATATATTGGTATTTTGACTTATGCTTACCTATGTATGTAATATATAACAAAGGGAAAGTATTCCTATCGCTAAAATTTTCGAATCTGAGTTTTCAACGGAAATACACGTTTTGAGGTCCCCTAAGCCCAAATAGCCAAGTCCTGCTAAAGGGTCTGTGTGTCTGTTAGTCTGTGTCTGTGTGCAAGTGAACAGCCTAGCTCGAAAACGAAAACTCGCACGAAACTTAAATAGCGTATTTAAGGTTTTTATATATAAAATCAGCTAATCGGAAGTATCACTTTATATCAACAGCGAAACACATATTTACAGTTTTCCCAAAAACTGCTCTAACGATTATGATTAAACTCGGTGTATCATTGCATAATTAAGTGGTCTTTAATATCATTTATGTCTTTTTCCCATTAATCTCACTTTACAGAGTTTAAATGTACAATGTTTATATACATCTTTCCCTAAAGCACCTTTAATATGGATTATTTGAAAAAAATCAACTCTCTTATATTGACAGTAACTATAAAAAATGTCTAAATATGAAGTTTAAAAGAATATGGCTAAATATGATGTTCAAAAAAATATGATAACTGGAAACTGAAGAAAAAAGAAAAATGCTTATCCTGGTTAAAAATGAATCTCCGGAAATAACAGTCAGAAGGTATACGTATAATATATCGTTAGAAAGCGAAGACTTTCAGAAAAAATAAAATTAAATAAATAAATGTAATAAATAAATAGAAGGTAACGCAGAGTGACAAAAAAAAAAATAGAAATAATAATTTCAGAAAACTAACATTACTTAACGTAAATCACATGTTTCCAATGAAATTAGGCGAAATTCCTTTCCTAAAAGTAAACTTTTGAAGTACTTTTCTAAGTTTGAAAAAAAGTATTTAAAATCCACCGAATCATGCCAATGTCATTGTTTAAAATACTATTTAATTCTACTTGTGTGAAAGAAGTGAAATATAAAAATATTTCATGTATATATTTATAACCATAAATACTTTTGATGTGGTTCTATAACTCTAGATATGATATTATATTTAAATTATTGGGTATTTATTAGCCCTTTCTTAAAATCATCAAGTAACCTTTTAGGAAATTAAATGAGTGAATAATTTTATGAATTTTCCCTTTGTGAAGCACCAACATTGTCGACTTCCAATTAGTGTGAAAATTTTCAACCTAACCATGGCAGGCAACGAAAATCTCGTAATTTCATTTTAGTAAATTTTATAATGGAAAATGACAGTTTAATAACTTACAGTCCTACAATCCATAATCATTTATATGTTAAATATTTAGATGTACTTTCAAATCTCTCTAGGCATATATGAACCTTTTGGTTGTCAGAAAAACTAACTTCAATTTCAACATTCTTCATTATTAATTTTAGTGATGTTTCTATTGGCGAACTTTATGCCTTTATACGCAGTTCTATATGTCAACGTTGAAATCACCTACTCTGGAATCAACTTGCTCACTGTCTGTATAGATACAACTTTTCCAACTAGAAATATCACTAAAATGACATTACTCAAAAATCTTGAAATTATAGTTATTCATTATGTCAACTGAGAGACCTCAGAGACTGAAGTTATGTGGTTTATAAAACTAGATTTTCATTGGCTACCGTCGATATAATAAATAGACTTTTTGTAATTTTACTGGTCTTAAAGATTTGTTATCTCTAAGCTTTAAACTTTAGCTCCGTTTAAAGTACACTTCAAATTTTTTTAAATAACCCAACATTGCCACAAAATTATTTCTATTAAAAGTAGTGGGGTAAGTGAAAGTTATGTGTTACCCGCACCAGATTTTTTTTGTTACTTGTTTAAGCTGCTTAAAGATTTAATAAATTATTTAGATTTTACTGACCTAAATGAAGTTGGTTGGTGGTTTGTCTCTCTGGATAAAGAACATCCAGGTTATGAATCAATCCCCGATCAATTAAATAACACTACTTTTAAACTAATCAGGTTGTAGTTTCAAAATAAAAAAACGTCTGCCAAGTAAGGTCAGTATAGCTTCCTCACCGTTGTCATTGTATATTACAATGTATACCATTTTTTGTATGAGAATAAAATCTCTGGGAGAAGCCGATTCGGAAATATAGTTACTCTTCAACATTCAACAAAAGAGTGCTGTATTTGAAGATCCCATATTTGATTATCCTTAATAAAAAAATAAATAAATAAAATGCACCCTGAACATGAATTTCAATACTTTTAGTGTAAAAGGTCTTATGTAATAATTTATTGTTTTACAAGAGTGCATAAAACTCATTATTTCTTTATGCTTTATTAGTATAATTTCATATTTTATTGTCATCTGCTACTATCCATAGTAGCAGACTACTTATATCAGTTGCAGACTACAAAATGTTACCTTTAATACAAATGGAATACAATTTGAAAAATTTTACATACGACTTTTTTGCACTAATTGTAGTAATATACAGTAGCGGACCCAGATTTAATTTTTGGGGGGAGGGCTTCAGCCTGTAAGATTTTGTTTTCATATACACAACGATAATTAATTTGAAAAAAAAACCGCTGCAAATTATTGCACAATTTCCAAATAATTATACCTTTAAAGTAACATTACCTTCCTAGTTATTAAGAAAAAAGGTGATTTCAATTATTGGACTAAACTTTTTTTTTAATCATTAGTAATATGCTAAAAAAATAATTTAAAACCCAAAACAAAAGATATATATATATATATATATATAATATATATATATATATATATATATATATATATATATATATATATCTTTGCAGTAGAAAAAACTAGAGACCATATCTTTGCTCCTAATTATCCGGTTTTAATGAATTATTTTTTTTTAGGAAATCCCTTAAACCTTTAAAAATCATTATAGGCATAAGGCGAATGTCTGACGGCGGACTGACAAAAAAGTTTTTATTCGTTTTTCGTATTC